CGAACCGGTCGAATCGGAACCGGCTAGGTAGCCGGTCCGAGTCATATAAAAAAACCGGAAATTTAAAACCCGGTCAAAACCGGTCAAAAACCGGGTTTGACCGGACAAAAACCGGTTTTTCCGGTTCAACAGTAATTTTTTTTAAAAAAATTCAAACTTTTTAATATTATGTTTTGACCCCCTAAATTGTTAAAACTTATTGATATACCTCAAATATTTGATACTTTATAAATATTGTCCTAAAATTTGATGTTATTTTTCAATTAAATTCATAATTTTAATTCTAAACTTGTTAATATTTATTAAATAATATAAATTGCTACTTGATTGTTCTAATTTATTTGTATTTTCTTGTTAAATATATTTGAAACATCAAATATATATAAATATACCTTTATTAATATCAATATATTATTAGATATTATATATATAATATTTTAATTTTTAAATAATTTTTATTTATGACGTCATCCGGTTCGACCCCTATCGACCCCCGATCGAACCCATTGACCCCTGACCCCTGACCTCGGCCGAGTCGCTATCCGGTCCGGTTCTGAAAACATAGCTTTTACGTTGGATTTTTGGAGACAATTGGACGCAATAAAATCCTTTGCTTTTCCTCCTATTGTTGACCGAAGTTGGAGGAGACAGTCGCAAACCTTTCCCAAATCAACACACGCGATTTGTCCTCCATTGATGGAGGGCTAATTCTCTAATTCTAGTCAAGGGGGCAACTGACGAATTGGTTCAACGATTACTGTGAGATCTAAACCATTTTTAATTATTTTCTTCATTTATTGATATTTATATGTTCCTTGATTTTAATTGTTATAGCCTTGTGTATGATTGATTAATGCGCAATAATTAATTATTCATATAGGTTATTCTGCTAAATAGGGGTAATTGAATCCGTAATTGTTCGTTATCTCTGTTTTAATAGCAACTGGCGTAATCGAGTTTATGTCAGGGGAACATATGATCTAATTTAAACAAACTCTCGTAGCGTGTTTGTTAGTTAGGATTGGACCTTTCTAATTATTAATACAAGTTAGAAATTAAATCCTACGGTCGTACCTAGGGTTGTTTTTGGGTTAGGGAAATAGTTAACAGTCGTACCTTAACTATCAATAAATTAAGGAAGGGTTAGTTGTTTATCGCGTGCATGACAATTATAACTAATCTATTAATAAATGTTGGAATTATCTGTGAATTGATGATCAGTGCATGAACCATTTCTGAAGTGTACCCTTGGCTAGAACTCTCCTAATTATTTCTTTTAATCAATTACTTTTCTGCAGTTAAATTATTTACTTAACATTTTATTCTAAACCTATTTGTTTTGACTTGAAAAGAAATAAATTTCTCGCTAGTCCCTGAGGAGACGACCCTGCTTGCCACTATCTACTAGTTAGTGGAATCAGTTAAATAATTAATTCGGGTATATCGGATTAAGCAAACTCTTCGGGAATAGGGTGAATCAAGTAACCCATTGCACACCTAGAATCCCTGCTCCAGTACTAGAATTGATTATTGACTGCTTCAGGTGGTAATTAGGTTTTATTTATTATTATTGCACAGGTTCGGCACCTGTCAATGGCAGAAACAGACCGAACCCGCTCATCATTATGTGAAGCAAGCTTGTTCCTTAGAAGTTCTGAGCGCTTGAGTTCTTGTACTGTGGACATGGATGGGAAATGTCTGATCATGGGGTGGAAGGGTGCCCCATTTCAATCTCTTTCAGCCTGGAAGTTGCAGAATGAGTACGAAATCTAGGACTGCTGCAGGAGATGAAATTTATGGATTCTGTCAACTGCTGGGCATGATTACCGACTAGCTGATTGACTACTGTTTTAACCTTATTGATAGACTACTGCATTTTCTTTGCTATTTCTTAGTTTCTCTTGTGAGACGAGGAAGAAGAAATGTTTATGTTTCTGATGTTCCCAGTCTCAATGAAGTCAAAATCACACCTCTCTGAAATCTTCTATTAAACCATTCAATATACCTGCATTTGACTTGTTCTTTTGGTGCTGCACTCGGGTGAGGTTTCGGAGTGACATTTATAAGCACATCCAGACTTGGGGAATTCCCCCAATGGTATAAAAGGTGCCGAAACTTTGTCATTTTTCTTATGGATTGCACTAAAGATCAACATTTCTAGCTATTTACACTATAAGTCTATCCATCAACACGATAACAGGCATGTGGAAGCTGGAGAGATAGCTGGTTGATTATTTGATTCTCATAGCTGGAAAACAAAATACTAGCAAGAAATTTCTATCTTAGCTAGTATGGTTCATTTCAACTTTATGGTAGTCAGCTTTAGAAGAAACTTAGATTTCTTAGAAGGCAGATTGTCAAAACTTTCTTCGATTCTTTTCAACAAAGAAGTCAAAAATTTCAATCCAAATTGTTTTCTTTTCTTCTTTTACTTGTTCTCAATCTTTTGCCTTTTCTCCCTGTCTTCTTCCCCCCCTTTGGGATCTTTCCGCTTCCATTCTCGGCCTCCAATTCTCCTCCAGCCTGTCTGATGCGACTCCGATTCCAGGCCGGACGATGACTACGAACCATGGTCCCCTGTATTTGTAACATATAATTTGGCTTTTTACATCTTGGTCGTCTCAGCGTCCTCTTCTTCTTATAATAATTAGTCATATTGATGGCATCTGCAGGCCTAAATTTGCACAAATATGCCTGTAGTTTGTATTGAGATCCATTCTCCTGAAGAAAGCTGCTGCAAGACATCAATTGCAGGAGAATCTCTTTCAGTGGCTTGTCATTCTCCATGTGGTGGCTCATTTTTGTTTCCAAAATCTCTCTTATCAGAACCTGTTTTGCAATAAACCCAGTCTATTCTATTTGCAGTTCAACTCTGGTCATTGACTATTGAATCTTATCTAACAAACTCTTTAATTTGTCTGAAAACTGGAGCATGATATTTTAAACCCTTATGGGGAAAACTTCCACTACTGCATTCACTAACTTCTGTTGCATATCTCATCCACAAAGTTTAACTGCATGGCAAATTGGCATTTATCCCTAAATGAAGGATTATGACAATGGAATGTGACACCAAATAAAAGTCGCATACTACAGTCTACAGCAGCTTTAGCAAGCAGAGATCAAACCAATCGTAGCGTGTCTGTTGTTCTAGATCCACTTGTTAAACACAAGAACAGTCAAATTACCAATATGTTACTATTAGTTTCAGATGGATATGGTACAGCCTAATTCTTTGGCAGCAGTACTAAGAAACTGAGTAGGCATTCCAGTTGCAAGTAAGCTATGAGCTTCCCATGTTAAACACTTCTCAATATCAGTTTGCCAGTTGATATTGCCTACACTTAAATACTGATAAGCAGGGCCATGAATGCCATTTTTGTCCACTTTTTTCCCACTAGCTTTTAGTGAACCAGCATACAGAATTGCACGAAGAACTGATGTGCTAAGAGCCCGAACATGAGCGCTTGGATGAGAGAGACAGCGCGCTGTCGCTGGTAATCGGCACTGCAAATTAGCAATCAAACAATTGTACTAGATGTGTCAGTATGCAATCAACCCATCAAATTGTTTGATGAACAAAATGTAATCTCTGATGCCTAATGATGCTCACGTCTTCTTGCAAAAATGAGACTTAATTTATGTCACATGGCATACAGAAATCCTCATTAAATTTCAATGTAAATCACACTACGTTTCTAGTAGCAGCACTAAAGAATGTTATTTACATGGGTCTATTACCTTCAATAGGTTCAAAAGGCCATCGGCCACAGCCAATCCGGATTCTCCCCACTCGAGTACAGGTTGGACCGCTCTAGCAGTTGCTTCGAGGAGCTTTTTCATTGTTAGAGGATGCAAATACAGGAAATTAGTCAGTAAACAGTGTGTGTATAAGAATTAATCTTTCCTACATTAATAATGTATACACAACCAGGCCTGCATATATGCCACATGATTTCAATTTGGATTTGATCTCTACATTTTACACGTGGGATGTATTTAGATCCGTTAGCGTATACAATGTCAATGTATTATAGATTTACCCATAAAAAAAAACATTTTTTTTTGAGGAAAAAGATCAATACTTTCATTCATAATTTCAAACAAGCATATATGGAAAAGATTAGGAAAGGGCAAAATTGAACATTTAAATTTAGCAATTCAAAAGTCTTTACAATTTTAAAGAAAAAAGAAAGGACAGCTGCTCATTCAAATAATTAGAATCAGCTACCTCCAGTTGCGGTAAAGTGCATGCTTCTCCATCAACGAGCATCTCATCTGTGGCGCGTAACAGGAGGTCTGAAGCACTGGATAGAATTACCAATGATTCAGGTGTATCATGATTTCTCATTAGCTCCACAATCACTTTTACAATGCGTTGATTGATCCTCCACATCTTCTGACCAAGATCATCATCTTTGGCAATCCACGGTTTCAGTTCCCTCTCTGCCTGACAAGCCAACAAAGCAAAGAAAGCACTTGGGATCCTCGGTGACATATTTTCTATGCCAATCCAATGCCACCTCTAATATATCGCCAAGTGTTCTGTTATTATTTGCACTTTAATTTTTTAATAATTCAAATTGGTTTGGTTTAATACAAATTTTCTTTACCCTCTAAAAATTTTGAACCAAAATTAACCGATCGGTTTAATTCAAATACCATCACTTTTAAGTTAACCACCCACGATCTGTTGCATTGGGGAAAAAGAAAAAGAAAACCTAAACAAAATTGCCTCCAAACTCTTTCATCGGTGATTGCTTTGAACAAAGCCAAAAAGAAACAATCGGCAGTGGAGACAAGGAATAACATAATAAATATGAGCAGGTATTGAGTATTTACATGGATACAAGGTGAATAAACCTGCCCTTGTTCACCAAAACATTTCTGCTGCGAATGTGCTGATTGATCAACGAAACAGACCTTTGCTTTCTGATTCGGGTCTCCACAAATTACTTACTAATGATACTGTCTTCTCAGCACTCAAGGATAGCGCTGCGATGGGATATTTGGCTCCTGAGTACAGTCCTACTGGCCGGTTTACAGAGAAAAGTGATATTTATGCATTTGGGGTACTTTTGTTTCAAATCCTTTCTGGGGTTCGAAAAGTAAACTTAGGAAAAACTCAGGACTTCATGGATAGAAATCTCCATGGAAAGTTCTCTGAACCTGAAGCCATCAGCCCAGATTCTGTGCATAATTGGACTTCTTTGTTTCCAAATATTTATTATGTTATTCCTTGTCTCCACTGCCGATTGTTTCTTTTTGGCTTTGTTCAAAGCAATCACCGATGAAAGAGTTTGGAGGTAATTTTGTTTAGGTTTTCTTTTTCTTTTTCCCCAATGCAACAGATTGTGGGTGGTTAACTCAAAAGTGATGGTATTTGAATTAGACCGATCGGTTAATTTTGGTTCAAAATTTTTAGAGGGTAAAGAAAATTTGTGTTAAACCAAACCAATTTGAATTATTAAAAAATTAAAGTGCAAATAATAACAGGACACTTGGCGATATATTAGAGGTGGCATTGGATTGGCATAGAAAATATGTCACCGAGGATCCCGACTAGACATTTGAAGCAATCTAATTAGATAAACACTGAGGTTTGCTTCAATGAGAACTGCAACTTGACCAGGTATTTGTGATTAGCTCCATTTTGGAGACTGTTCACTGATAACTTTACTGTATGTTGAAGATGACCTCTGATAATTGAGTGAATGACATAAATTTTGTTCTTGTCAGATAGCAAAGCTGAGTATGATCCCTGTTTCCTGCTTATTGGAAGTTGTGTTTGACAAAATTAGATATTCAAGAGATACAAAGCTCAGCATTGCTCTTGTCCTCCTGGGTGTTGGCGTCTGCACAGTCACTAATGTTAGTGTCAACACTAAAGGATTTGTTGCTGCCTTTATTGCAGTTTGGAGTACTTCTCTCCAACAGTATGTAAGTTGTTTATTCCTCTGCTCAATTCTGTATGTAAGGTTGTATGATGTCTTGATCGTTCATCTGGTTAATGCAACATTAGATCATGCAGACCCCACGATTACCAGTCCTGGTGATATGATGAAAGGTTTATTAAAGAGAAAAAAAAAAATTTTGATGCAATTTGTCTATTATAGTTAGTAGATGCCCTACTAATATCCGACACCAGATGCATAAAGCATGTGACATCTTTTGCTCCCCTGTCCATCTGAAAATTTTTCTGAAGAAATGCAGAATACGAATCCTGTAATTTTATGTAATTATCCCCCACAATTACGTATTTTTAAAGTTGCTTTTGGTGCTTATAGATATATTATTTATATTCAAAAGAAAAAAATACTGTTTGGTGCTTAATCTTTTATTTGTGCATCTGAAATGCTTGGAACCTCAGGTTAATCTAAGAACTTGACTTTCTTATGCAGTTTGTTCATTTCCTTCCACGGAAATACTCTCTTAGCTCATTCAATCTTCTAGGACATACAGCACCAGCCCAGGCTGCATCTTTGCTGCTAGTAGGCCCATTTCTAGATTATTGGTTGACAAACAAGAGGATTGATGCCTTTAACTTCAACGTACCATCTTTGGTAAGTCTTTGTGCCCGATGCTCATGTTAACTGTGATCATCCCAGTTTCTCCTATGGTTATACTTATGTTACATTCTCATTCTTAATTAGATGATAATCATGTGCTTTTTAATCTTGGGAAGTGGCATTGCTGCGGATGCATCAAATTTTGCTTATTGTACTCAACTTTTGGCATGCTTACTAGCATGCAACCTATACAAATGTTAATTTCATGCTGGAACAGGTTTTATTCCACTGAAAGTATGATATGCAAATGGTAATAGTTCACTGTTTGCAAAATAGTGCATCATGCCCTGCCAAAAAAACCTTTTGTATATCTTGCCCGATGTCTGTTGAATATTTTCCACATGTTGAACCCCTTTTTTGTTTTACAGACCTGTATTTCACCGCATGTCATGCTTAGAAGGGAAAAGAATTCTGCCATATATGATGAACTCTTATTTGTTTGAGTTTGTAATACGTTTCTAAATTATCATACGACATAGGATAGTGGATTCACAGCCTTACAGGAGTGACAGATCTAGCATAAGATGTTGACTTGATGAGCTGTCCCAATTAAATTTTGCCAACTGTGGGAAAGATACACAATTTATTTGTTTATTTTTTAATTTTCAAACTTCTTTTCTTTTTCCCTTCATATTTTTTGAATATAATAGCATGGTTTGTGGATAGCCACGCACACTGCTTTTTCTGCTCGTAGTCACGCACACTACTTTTTCTGCTCTTATTCTCATTCTGTTTGTCTGTTTGATCTTAACTTCTTTTTAATGGCATTTTAATTTATAAACCTTATAATTGTTGTCACATTTATTTTTTCCCTTTAATTTGTTTATCATAACATAAGGATGCCTTTTCTTGAGGTGCTTGTTTATTTTAAGGTGTTTCCTCACACTATTTTATCTTTGGGCATCTTCTCAGGTGTTTATAGTCCTTTCATGCACTTTTGCAGTTGGAACAAATCTGAGCCAGTTCATCTGCATTGGCAGATTTACTGCTGTCTCATTCCAGGTCCTTGGCCATATGAAAACCATTCTTGTTTTGATCCTGGGGTTCTTATTTTTCGGGAAAGAGGGTCTTAATTTACATGTGGTCATTGGCATGATTATTGCTGTTGTTGGAATGGTATGGTATGGCAATGCTTCTTCCAAACCAGGTGGAAAGGAGCGTCACAGTCATTCATCTCGAAGCAGCCAGCAGAAGCATGGTTCAGAATCTTCTATTACAAAGGTGCGCAGATTTTGTTAGCTAGAACTTGAAAGTTATGCTTAGCAGTAGTCAAATACAAGGCATTGAAAGTTAATGAACTTATACAAGGAAGAGATGCGTTGGAAGTTGGAACTGTTCGCCTAAGGTGTGATTTAGCTTTTGCCCAATCTTCTGTGGTTTGTCTCGGATGTTTAAAGAAGCTTGTTGCATATTGCCTAGCAATCGATATTTCTTGTTGCTTTCATGCTGAAAGATAGTTGATATTGTAGAGTACACAATACACATATGAAGCAGTGTTACATCAAGCAAGCCTACCCTCTCCAGCATACCATTATTTTCCAGGTTTTATGCCTTTCAAGCTTCATAAAGTGGAAGCCAATAGAAAAACTAAATTTAAAGAGGAGATGTGACGACAAAGAAAATAATGTAGCCCATGAGACAGATTAATGTCAAGAAATCCTAAGACAGCTGAAAGTCACCATGGAGATGCTTAGGCAGTGCTTGTGCACCCATTGATAAAAGGCTAGAAATCATGTGCATGGTTGGCCTTGATTGAGGATCAACATTCAGACAGGCCCTTGCAAGCTTGAGAATTGATACCAGAGTCTCTTCAACTTCCTGACCAGGATACGGAAGTCGTTGGTCCATCAAGTCTTTCAGTTGGATGTTCACAGATGTGGGCGATGTAAGGTGAGGAATGAAGTCACCAGGATGGCTGCCTTTGATTACTTCAAGGGTTAGAACCCCAAAGCTATACACATCACATTTTTCAGTTACTCTCATTGTGTAGGCAAGCTCTGCAAGGCAAAATCATGTCATCATTAACTTTGTGATCATGCTGTAATTAACTTCTTGAATGGTTCATAAGAGAAAAAAAACTATATTACCTGGTGCAACATATCCATAGGTGCCTGCTACTGCACTCCAGTTAGACGAGTCTATCTTCAGAAGCTTAGCCGTGCCAAAATCTGAAACATGAGCTTCATACTCTGAATCAAGCAAAACATTGTTGCTTGAAATGTCTCGATGAACTATAGGCGGCGAACAATCATGATGCATGTAAGACAGAGCATGAGCAATGCCCTTAATGATTTTTATCCTTTTCTGCCAATCCAATTTTTTAGCTTCTTCTTCAATGCTCAAAAGTTTAGCCAAGCTGCCTCTTTCAAGGTACTCATAAACCAAAAACGAGTATTTGGCACTTGAGCAGTAACCCTGAAGCTTCACAATGTTTCGATGCCTGATCTTTGTCAAGGCCCTTATCTCCTTCAAGAAACCTTCTTGATCTGCAGACTCAGACAAGTGGTGGAGTCTCTTTACAGCCACTGTGTTAGCCGGTGGAAGATTTGCCTTGTAAACACTTCCATGACCTCCTTTCCCTATGCAAAATGTTGGATCAAAATCCTGCGTCACTTTTAAGATGTTCTCATACATTTCTTTGCCATCAAATAAGGATATAGAGAACACATCTCCACCCTTTACTTCCCCGTCTTTCACTGTTGGATCTCCCTTTCTTTTTTCGTGAAAAAAGAGAATTCCAGCAAACGCAGAAAAAAGCATGAGTGCTCCAACAAGAGGGAGTGCAATTATGAGAGCAAGTTTCTGCCCATTCTCATGCTTTTTGACCAATTGAGGACTATCACACGGTCGTACCCCTGTAATGTTGCCACACAAACCTTTATTCCCTTTAAGTTGTTCAATAATGGCATTTGCAAATGCTTTTCCACAAGGAATTGGACCCTCTAACTCATTGAAAGATAAATCAATATGCTGAATACCGGGCAATTCTGCCAAAGCCTTTGGAATGACACCTGAAAGGTTATTATGGGAGAGATTCAACGTTTCCAGACTGTTCAAACTTCCAAATTCAGTTGGTATCTCTCCGATGAGGAAATTGTGGCTCAAATCAAGAAGGTCAAGGTGAATTAACTTACCCAACTGGGATGGAATACTGTGGCTTAAACTATTGCTGCTCAAGTTCAAAAAGGTTAGTCGCTGGCACTCTCCTATGCTTCCTGGAATTGATCCATTTAATAAGTTCACTGCTAGGTCGAGAGAGAATAGATCTGTCAGTGATCCTAACTCTAGAGGTATACCACCCGAGAGTTGGTTGTCATTTAAAAGCAGCCGTTGAATGGACTTCAGCTTCCCAAGTTCCTTTGGAATCTCCCCAGCTATCTGATTTGAAGAAAGATCAAGGAAGCCCAGACTAGGCAGATTCCCAAATTCTGGAGGAATGTGACCTGTGATGCTGTTATTTGCAATTGAAAGAGTTGTCAAGTTTTTGCATCTACCCCAGTTGTTTGAGAGCTCCCCAGAAAAGCTGTTGTTGCTAAGAAAGATAAATTCAAGGTGTGGATAAATACCAAACGATTCAGACAGGTCCCCAGTGAACTGGTTCCCATCAAATCGAGCTCTGACTAAACTTGCACAGTTTTTCAAACTTTCTGGAATTGGACCAGAAAGGCTGTTATTGTTGACAGTGAAGTCTCGAAGAGTTTGACTGCTACATAGCCCTTCTGGTAAATGACCGGAGAACTGATTTTCATCCATTTCCAAGACAACCAACTTTGTCAGTTTCCCTAGCTCTGGGGGAATGGAGCCAGAAAGTTGGTTATCGCGAAGAAACAGAGTTTCCAATTCTATCAAATTGCCAAGTGAAGTAGGAATCAACCCGTAAAGTTGATTCTCACTTACTTCGAATTCGACCAGAGACTTCAGGTTGCCTAACTCTTCCGGGATTGAACCAGAAAGTTGATTCCGATATAGATGCAAAAGAGTCAGATCCCTCAGGTTACCTAGTGAAGTTGGGATTGGACCAGTGAGCTTATTTCCCCATAGGCTCAGACTCTGGAGTTTTTTCAACTTTCCTATCTCAGGAGGAATGGAACCAGATAGGCCGTTTTCAAAAAGATGCAAAAGCAGTAGGTTATTCAGGTTACCAATCGAGGCTGGAATAGGGCCTGTCAGCTGGTTGTTGTCGATGTCAACCTCAACAAGATTGTTGAGGTTTCCAATTTCACGAGGAATAGAACCTGAAAGTTGATTTTCATAGAGATATAAATAAGTCAAGTTTTTCAGATTGCCAAGGGAGGCAGGAATAGGGCCCGTAATGTTGTTTGTACACAAGATAAGCTCAACGAGAGACCTTAACTGGCCAATCTCCTGAGGAATTGAGCCATTTAAGTAGTTCTCGTTCAAGTGGAGGGTTTGAAGGTTGGTTAAGAGGCCAATTTCTGGTGGGATGGTTCCAGAGAATTTATTATAGGACAAATCAAGATAACTGAGCTTCGAAAGCTTGCTTACCTGAGGAGGTACGCTGCCAGAAAGTTCATTCATGCTTAAATCAGCCTTTTCAAGATTTGGAAGAGATGAAAATGGAAAGCTGTAAAGCGTACCATTGATACTTGAATGTGTGAGGTTTAACGTGCTTACACTGCCATCAATGCACGACACACCGAACCAAGTGCAAGGGCTGACACTTGCTTTTGGATGATTACGAGTGTTTTGAAGATTCCAAGATGTTAGGAGGGTGTTGTTCAGGTTTGAAAAACTGGCTTTCCATTTCAAAAGGGCTTCAGCCTCCTCAACAGAAGCTGAAGCAAATTGGAGAGCCAAAACTGAGATAAGCAGGAGCAGAAGAAGTTCGAACGATGGGTTTTGATGATTAGCTAAAGAACCCATGATTTTTTTTTTGTTGTGATTTTTCTATGTTGAACTAAAAATGGCTTAAAGTGTACACAATTTATACTGGAGATAAAGCTAGTTGGAGACCCCACCCCACCATTGCAACACTAGACTCTGTGGTCTTTCCACGGTTTCTTCCAGCCATAAAGACTGTTCAATATAACATGGACATGCTTGTCAAGTTTTAGGAGACTGGAGTCGACTTGAGTGTGTTTCACTTCTCAAGTCAAGCCAATTTATCCTTTTAAGAAAGTCAAGCAAAAGTTCTAATTGATACCATTAATATTGGAGTCTTTGAAAGTGAAGAACAAGTAAATTGATCAACGAGACTTAAACATGCATTACTACCCAGCTAAAGAAAGAGCAATTACGATAGGTAGCGCCCTAAATATTGCTTTTTTTTTGCACAGTGAGCATTAAGGTCCATCAAGAATAGCATTTCATGCCATCTTTTTTAGAGAAAAGGAAAAATTACACTTTATCCCTTGTGGTTTAGTATTTTTATATATAACCCCCTTATAGTTTCAAAAGTTATACATAACCCCTTCATGATTTGGATTAAAGTGTTAGAGTGACGGAATTTGCAATCCATAACGGAGTCATCTAAAATGTCAAAAATACCTCTATGTAAAGTTGAAAATTATTTCTTAACTACAGGGGGGTTATGTGTATATTTTTAAAACCATAAGGGGGTTATATGGTAAAGTATAAAATCATAAAGGGGTTATATGGTAAAATATAAAATTATACATAGTTAGTGTGTTATGTATATTATATTTATATATCTTGGTCATTTCAACCATTTTAATTTTTAAACAAGCATAATTTCGATATTTTAATAGGTTTCGTTATGAATGATCATTTCCGTCACTTTGACGCTTTAATTAAATCATGAGGGGATTATGTATAATTTTTGAAACCATATGAGGGTTATGTACGAAAACACTAAACCATAGGCAGATAAAGTGCAATTTGCCCTAGAGAAAAAAAAAACAATACTCTTTTTTCTCCTAATTCCTTGAGTTTATCTAAAATCTGTTTATCACTGGGTATAAGTGGCGATACTTCTCAAGTCAACCTGATCTTAACTCTTGATGGTTCTTGGCAATTTCCTTTAGCTCTCTAAATGGCTCGTTAGCCAATAGGTGTAGATTTGTAATCGAGGAGAAATCGGGTCTCTGAAAATGAAAATGAAAATGGAGTTGTGTGGAACCAAAAGACTTGGTCAGAAACATTGGCAAAAAGGCCATTTTTTCCATCACTAAAAATGATATTTCTAACTTCATAATAAATGGAAATTAATATTCTTGACTCTTTCAACAGAAGATGCTTCTTGGTCTGTGCCAATACAA